ACTAGGTCCGTTATAGCTATAAATATTTTGTTTTCAGTTACCGCTGAGTACATCAGTTTTATGAAGGTTTCAAACACAATTTGCCAATAATTATCAAGATGCTTGGTAGTTGACTGAAGCAGCATTTCTCATCGGTGGTTGTCTTTAACTTTATTCCGAATGTAACTTATGGTACTATTAGGGTTTGTAAACCAGGTTATCCCATTCTAGCGATAGTTGACTTTAGAATAACCCTAATATTCGAACTATCAAAGTACCTTACATTGATATTATGTGCACTTAAGGGCCATTCAAATTTAGACTAGTCAATTCTTATGAGTTAAAACTAAGACTTCATGACGTAGATATTGAAGAGGTTGAAAAGAAATGGTTATTTTGGGTGCAACAATACCAATCAATATGGCACCGGAGGCAGTTCGAAGTCAACTAAATATTGACTCGGAACTCATGGAACTAAGATATATCGAATGATGAAATTATATTAGGCATACAGTTATACCTGACATCCACAGTCTTCAAGTTTTAGGACAAAAAATACAGACAAACAGAAGAAGTAGCAATAGAATCACCAATATCTCCAGTCGTAACAGATAGTTGGGAGAACATGACTTTACAAATGTTTAATCCTGCACCTAAAATATGGTAGCGATATGTAGATGACACATTTACTGTGTTGCAACAGGAACATAACGACAATTTCCACACACATATAAACTCAGTAGTATGCACAATCCAATTTACTTACGGGGTAGAAAATGAACAGAGGGAATTACTTATATTGGGTTGCAGAATAAAACGAATGACAGACGATGGTTTGGATTCTATCGTCTACAGGAAATTGATACTTTCTAACAGGTATCTAGACTACAGATCATGTGACCCAATGTCATTGAAGGCGGGTTTAGTCAAATGTCTAAATGACAGGTAAAACACTCAATAGTCAGTGGAAGGACTAAATTGGAACACATAAAAGTAGCACTGAAAATTATTGATTCTCCTCTACTGTTTATTCAGAGATTTGTACGAACACATAAGAAATGAAATAATAACAGTCATACGAGTAGAAAGGAGTTTACAAGCTCCATTATATTATCCTATAAGAGAGGGGTACATCAGAAACTTAACGTAGGATCGTCAAGGAAGCTGGAATTCGGGTGACATTTAAGCCTACAAACTCACTGAGAGATAAGGTTTGTCGGTTGACTTAAAGGTCGGATAGATGGAAATGGGCAAAATAATCTAATAATAATAATAATTTATGCTCGAAACGTCATCAAGTAAATTATACTGTAACACTTGCTGTGTTGTTATAAATCAAATAAATGAATGTAATATTTAATTAAGACTAGCTTGGTAGATGCATCAAATCTTATTACACTTTCGAAATATAGTATCTATGTCATTGAAACATATATTTATACTGGGTAATAATTGAGGGTGAAATGAAAATTTGGGCGGCAGCAAGATTCGAATCAAAATCCGCTGTGTTTCTGACCTGGTGTTCTATCAATTGGGTTACGAGACCCGAAGTTAGTGGAGCACCGGGCCGCAAGCCCGATAGACACTGGTTCGAATTTCGCCGCAGCCTAAATTTTCATTCCACCTTCAATTATCACCCAGTACTATAGTAATAATAATAATAATAATACTAATAATAACAATAATGATGATAATAATAGCTTTATTCCGACAACACCTGTGATACAGTAAGAAATCTTCAGCATGTATTAGTTCAGTATATTCATTTCCCTTCAACAATATCTTTAGGTACCATAGTCATTGTATTTGAACAATGCTAATAATAACAGTAATAAAAGGGATAATGTGAAACAGGCACCTGGTATATGACATTAGCATTTGGTTTGGACTAGTGAATGATTAGACAATCGAAGGTAATTTTCAGTCAGTAATTTTCAGCCAGTATCAAAATCTGTATTTCAACATGGTTATCCAAGAAATACTAATGAACTATGTTTGGGTGCATTTTTAAGCGCATATCTAATGGGCGTAAAGTTTTTTCTTTGTTTTATTGTTAGCTTGGAAAATAGCCCTTTGAAACCATTTTAAAAATGTTCGAGAGTGAATAACGCGTTTACGAAACAGTTATGGGATTCAAAGAAATTGAAATGAAGGAGTTTGATGAAACATTTCGTGGAAGGTTTTCGGTAATTCAAGGTTTAAGCAGATAACCCTGGTCTACCAAACCATAGCTTTCTCACTCAGACAGTCAAAATGATGTCTATTTATATACAATGGTGTTTCTGCGGTGTTGCGGAGTTTATATTATATTATTACTTATCCTATAAGTTCCTAGTGGAACATAGGGCTTCAGTAACACATCTCCATCCCATTCTCTTCTCTGAAGTCTTAACCTGGCTCCACAACTGCTCAGAAGCTTTCACTTCTTCTACACACCATCTCCATATCATCACCCTTGGACGCTCAACTCGTTGTTTCCTCTTTGGGTTCCACTGGATGGTATGCGCTGACCTGGCGTGTGATGTCCGCAAACGGTGTTCTCAGTGTTTGTCTAATCCAATCGATCTCCACTTTCTTCTGGATATTTGTTGAGTGATAAGTTCTTGGCTGGTTTGTTGTCAGAGTGAGTTCCTTGTTCCTAATTCTTATTATTCTGTCCAGCTATCTGATCTTCAGTGTCAGTATCGAGTGAGCGTAGTTGGCATGTGTTGATGTATGTCTGTAGTTCTTTGTTGGAAATGGTTTACGTAACGCGCCGCCAAGTCTCTCAACCATCGCATAGAAGCACTGATTCATTTGACATTAGTGTTGAAAATCCGGATGTTGTTCTCGTTTTATGCTGAGTGGAGTGGACTGGAGTAGAGTAAAGTAGATCTCCACACTGATTTCAGATTAGTGAAGGAAGGCATGTTTTGGTGTCTTTCCGATCCTGGTTACTTTGACATCTTCATCTGTGCCGCCGCTTGTAGTTGAAACGATGCAGCCTATGTAGGTAGGTGGAGACAACTTCGTTTAGATTTTTCCTATTGATGATGATTGGTGCTTGTTGTTGTTGTTTGTTGAGTATCATCATCACATCTATCTTCTCTACGTTCACTTGAAGGAATTCTGTCTTCTTTGCCTCACCTCTTCTCTCAACTTGTTATTTTTCACCTGTAGATCTTCGAGTTTGTGCTACATTAGACATAATTCATCGGCGAAATTATTTCGGAGTTTAATTATATTTAAATCTATGGTGTTTAGTATAGAATTTTATAATCGTCTTTTTATGTTTCGTTTATATGCCACTCGTAAGTGTGTACAAAATTAGCGTAGAACCTCGTACGAAAGTGCATCGGCTCAACCTGTCACATTTCACTGTAGTATAAAAAGAACAAACCTCGCTTGGTTAACTCGCCGATGACTTGTGCCTGATGTCATATAAACTTGAAGATCTACAGGCAAAAACTAACAAGTTGACAGAAGAGGCAGGGCAGCGAAGACGGGACTTCAAGTGAATATAGAGAAGACAGAGGTGATGAAGATACCGCACCAACAACTCCAACAACAACAAACTCCAGTCACCATCAACGGGAGAAACTTAAAGGAAGTAACCTCCTTCACTTATCTAGGAAGCACTGTTTCAACTACAGGCGGGACTGACGAGGATGTCAAAGTCAGAATCGGAAAAGATAGGAAGACAGGCGTTGATTAGCCTGAAACCAGTGTGGAGATCTTCTGCACTCAGCATGTGGAACAAGATGCGGATTTTCAACACCAATGTAGTCAAGTCAGTGCTTCTGTATGGTGGATGAGAGACTTGGTGCGTTACGAAAGGGATTTCCAATAAACTACGGACATTCATCAACAACTGCTTACTCTGGCTCGCTACTAAAGATCAGATGGATTGCCAGAATGGTGAGAATAAGCAACAAGGAGCTCTGGGAACGAACCAACGAAGCAAGAACCTGTCGCTGAACAAATATGCAGTTGAAGGAAGTGGAGATGGATTGGTCATACACTGAGAAGACCGACTGGGGACATCACGCGTCAGGCCAGTCGCTCGAGTGGAATCCCCATGGGAAGCGATGAGTTGGGCGTCTGTGCCGAGGGTGACATGGAGGAGGTCGTGCGAGGAGGAAATGAGAGGTTGTGGGCTGTCGTGGAATCAGGTTCAAGGGATTTCAGAGAACAGAGGTCGCTGGAGATGTGCTACTGAAGCCCTATGTTCCACTAGGAACCCAAGGGACTAATAATAATAATAGTAATAATGATAAAAAGAACAGGTGAGTAGAAAAAGAGTGATATCAATGTGAAAAAAGTATAAAAGAATAGAAGAAATTTTAATAATGAAGGTTAATAAGAATGTTCAAACTCTAGATTACATCATAGAGCGAATCACATCTTCTTCATTGTCACTCATTTTCAGCCATATGTTATGAAATGTTTGTACCGTTAATTCGTATTATCCCGTAGGCTGTCAACCGTACAGTCTATACCTACCTGCATAGTACAGACTACTAGTAAACAATTCTATGCAGGAGCTTTATGTAGTAATCTGACTAATCTTAGACACTTTCCGACTCAATCATGCTTAATTTAGCGCTGTACATCGAGGTAAGCAGCCAAATTCTATTGTATGAAAACGCTAAAGGATGAATCGCAGAATAATGTTTTATTACGACACTTTGTACGTTACTGATGAAATATTGTGACCTTTCTATTGATATATTCATTTGCACAATATGGTTCATTTCTTCCTCTTCTTCTTCTTCTATCTCATTTTGCTTTTTATATGCCTACATTGTCTCTTATGTTTCTGTGTGCAGACAGAATATTTTTCCATCGCTTGTAATTACTTATGACTTCTGTCGACTTCTCAGCATATATACTACTGATATGCATTCTTATCAGTAGCATACACAACACTATATCTTATCTTTGTTTACTTACTGTAGAGAATGAAGTACTTGTTTTGTTTTTTTTTTCTATTTGTAAGACACTCATTGAATAATTTCCTTTTCATTTTTTTTTCTCTACAGGTTGGTATCGCATTATTTCGTCCAATAAGTGTACATGAAAAAATTAAAGCAGTTAAATTATTAAAACAATCTGAAAAAAAAGATACTAGAATGAAGCATCATAAAAGTAAAAAGCATAAATTAACATTTCTATCATTATGCAGTCGTAATAAGTCATCAAAACATCGTCAAGAAAGAAAGGTTGCAATTCAACGGTATGTAAACAATAGAATTAATCAGCTTTACTTTAGACCTCTCATAAGGATATAATTTACTGATGTTTTAGGCGGTTCAGTTTTTTCCCACCATGTGTATGTGTGTATGTGTGAACGTTTAGCCCTTTGAGTTAAATGGAGTATTAGAGCTGACACTATTTATTGTGAAGTATGCCAAAATGATAGGCGTTTAGTATCCTTCACATAGTAGGCTTACTCTGTTTGTTTGGATACATGATTCTGCTATGTGTTGCATCATTTAGAAAAAAAAGTTTATCATACCTAAATAAGGTAGGATATCGACTTAGATTGTTTGAATTCGGTCTATATTCTTATTTCTGGAATAAAGTTTTCTTTCTCGTTAGTGGATAGAACTCGGGTAGATTATTATATTATTATTTGTCCCTTGGGTTCCCAGTGGAACATACGGCTTCAGTAGCACGTCTGCATTCCAATCTCTCCTCTGCAATATTTTCAACCTGGATCCACGACCGCCCACAAACTCTCATTTCTTCCTCACACCATCTCCTCCATGTCACCCTCGCTCCGGATGCCCAACTCGTCGTTTCCCATCTGGGCTCCACTCAAGGGCGTGGCCTGGCGCCTGATATCCCCGAATAGTCTTCTCAGTGTATGCCCAATCCAATCCATCTCCACTTCCTTCCAGTGCATATTTGTTGAGTGACAGGTTGTTGGTTGGTTCGTCGCCAGCCACACTTCCTTCTTCCTTATTCTTTCTGGCCATCTGTCTAATCTTCAGTATCGAGTGAGCGTAGGCAGTTGTTGATGAATGTCTGTAGTTTGTTGGAAATGACTTTCATAACGTGCTCAGTCTCTGAACCATCGCATAGGAGCACTGACTTGACTGATGTTGGTGTTGAAAATCCGGATGTTATTCACACTTTATACTGAGTGGAGTGCAGAAGATCTCCACACTGGTTTCAGGTTAGTGAACGCCTGTCTTGCTGTATTTCTGATCTTGGCTGCTTTGATGTTCTCGTCTGTGCCACCGCCACTTGTAGTTGAAACGATGCTGCCTTGCCTAGGTAGGTGAAAGAGTCTACTTCCTTTAAGCTTCCTTCTCCTGTTGATGGTGATTGGAGGCAGTTGTTGATGGTGGTGTTGTTGGTTGGGTATCTTCATCACCTCTGTCTTTTCTGCGTTCACTTGAAGTCAGTTCCGTCTTCGCTACATCGCTTCTTCTTTCAACTTGTTAGTTTTTGTCTGTAGATCTTCGAGTTTGTGTGACATTAGACACAAGTCATCGGGTAGATAGCCGTTAACTAATATCGTTCATGTATCAGTTGGCATTCGTAGACATATGTGTAAAGACAATCGACATAAAAATCGTGAATATCGAAATCCACTCAGTAACCTTGTGAATATTCGTGCAGTAGTAGGCGTTGAATCACGTCTATTGTATAAAGTCTACTGATATTATCTAGCTGTCCAGTAGATGGAGTGGGTTTCGAACCCGTGGTCTATCGCGTGGGAGGCGAGTGCCTGAACCAATGAGCTATAACTCCGTTTTATCCGTGTCATTATCAATTCAAACATATATTTTTCATTTCTAAGGAGAAAATCTTCACAATTATGCTTTTTGAACAATGGCTTAAGTTCGAATTTGATAGACATGTTTTTCGGCTACTGTGCACTTGCCTCACTTTATGTTTTACTTGAGGTTTACCAATGAAGTTTTCGATTGACTATTGGATCAAAGTGTGTACTTTGAGCCTTTTGATAAACATTTAACATTAGAAAGTATGCAGTACACGCCACCTAACTTACTGATAACATTGAAGAATTGACTGAAAGACTTCCGTTGGTTGGTGAACTGATAGTGATGAAGCTGTGGCTTGTTGATCTAGACACTTGGCTCACACCCTATAGGTCAAAAGTTCGTACCCTGGTTTGTCTTCAACAGTGTATATCATTACCTCCCATAGAATAGGTGTGGCTTATTGCCTACTACACACGTTCGCATATGGTCGCTCAGAGGATTTTGATTTAATAACTATTGATGGTTGTAAACTTTAAACTGCTCACTAGGTAATTAATTTAAGAAATGATTGGGTCAAAGATTGAAATACCATTGAAATGTTTTTTGTTACATGAAAGGATAAGTAAGTAATAAAATCTTTTGTAAGGGTATGTAAAGAGGACAAATACATAAATAGTCGCACCTGAAAACAATTGGATAATGCTAATCAGATACATGTCGACATATTTCTTAGAGAGAGAGAGAGAGTTTAGTGCTCAGTTGACATTTCGACATCTTGCAATGCTTATAGGGTTGTATATTACTGACTGATATGATTAAATGATAAACTTTTCATGCCAATCAACAGCGATACTATCACTTATAGAATATTTCGCTTCCTTAAAAGAAATCATAGTTGAATTCTGTGAGTACATTTCACTGTACCTCTTATTTTGTGTTACTGTCCAAACTAGTGATTTAGTTCGGATAACTTGCTAGTAAATTAAATGAAGCAGGTGATCGCAAGTGTTCAATACACCGATTAACTTGGTTTACCTACTTGAGTTTACACTAGGATTGAAGTATTGTTTTGCATTCTGAGTTTGATAGGTATGTTTAAAACACTTTTTGTCAATCCATTTATGTAACTGTATTATGTTGTCTACATTCAATATATGTTTCTAAGTCAGAGTTAGCTAAGGGGTTAGAAATTGAAAGAGAAACATTCATTACAGATGTCATTGTACGTACATATATCATAAGATAACTCTTTATAGTCTGTAATATGATGCATATTGTTATAAAAGGAAACAGTTAACTTGTAATATCTCAATAAATCCACCTAACAACTTACAATCAAGGTCAAATTAAAAACGTCTTCTTACCGTCTTTGAGAGATTTTTCAATGACCTTGAACACACTAACAGGAGAATAGGTATTTTGTGGCAACGTTTTCGTTGAGAAATTCGAGTGAATGTAGTTGTTTTTCATTTATTGCTTGTATTATACCGTCGTTGATTGGACCGAATTGATTGGTCTCTATTGGTATATGAGCTGCTGTGTGAATGCCTCGATATTACCTGTTTTTTCTCAGTTGTTGCAATGATATATAGTGGCTAGCAGTGGAATCCACGATGCGCATTTCGTCGTCCTATTTGAGACTCGTCAGCTGGATGTACCTGCCTCCCAGTGAGTGATATTTTTCCCTTCAGAATTCGGACTCGAGACCGATAGCTTCAAAGGCCAGAGCGTTATCCACTACACCACCGAACCATGATAGCCACTTCTTGTGTGACGAGTGTAGTTAACGTATTATTGCTTGTATTATAACGTCGTTGATTGGACCGAATTGGTCGGTCTCTATTAGCATATGGGCTCCTAGATTCCACCGCTAGCCGCTATCCATCATTATTACAACTGAAAACAGGTAATATCGAGGCATCCGCACAGTACCCCTTATGTCAATAGAGATCGATCAATTTAGTTCAGTCAATGACGGTATAATACATGCAATTATACCAAACTGTACCCGTGAGACAAGAACTGACTATCGTGTCTCTGTAGCATAGTATATAACGCTCTGTGTGTTCTGTTTGTTGTCATCAATTCGCTTACACCTTCCTGTCATCAATGCAAGTTCAATCACTCAGATCTGTATGTGTACATCTGCCACTAAACAGAAATTTCTAAATGCTTGTGGATGAAATGCGTCTATAATTAGTGAGATTCACGCAACCCAGGTGTTGTATCTTTCGTTTAAAATGCACACATGTATGCGAACTCATTGACTAATATGCTGTATGTGTATGTATGTTACGTGTTCCTAGTCGCCGTCTGGTTGATCACACAATGTTGGCTGAAGTAGTTTCAGGCTGGGAAAATGCTGTTGGCTGTCGGCCAGACTGAAACATGGCATGAATGAATGAATGAAGTGTTTTACTGTTGGTTTGAGCCATGTAGGACGATGTAGACTATCCGGTTGAGGTTCTGTGGAGAATAGAAACCAGTGGTTGGAGACTGGTTGTAGGTGATATGACTGAGAACAGATGTGAGTGGTGCAGATGTATACATAGATTGTCCTCATCTTAACGATGCTCTACCGAGTCTCACCATTTTCTCATTCTTCCTTTCTCTCTTTTCATACTTTATATTTCTTTTGACTGAACGTGGTTTGGTTTTCTTCATCTTCCACTTCACTGCTTTTTAACTTGATGTACTGACATGAGATGAGGTGTGGCAAGTTGGACCGTTACGCATTAATGTCTGGTCCTATGTTTATTTGGATGATAATAATGATGATATTTCGTCTGTTTATCAAATTGTACCAATATGTTGAGATGCATTAGTTAACTGACTTGGAGGTCGTGGACCAGCAACCTAAGTTAACTCGACAACGTGGGGATGGCAAGGATACTTGATGCATATTATGAGGTCGTGTTTGAAACTATTGTTCTTAGGTTCGATTTCTTGTAGGGATAAGGTCACTCACCGGGAGGCAGGTTTATACAGATGACGTCCTGGATTTCACTGCTAGCCACTATTCATCACTAATTTGAGCTAATCGAGTGTGTGGGAACTATGAAGATGGACACCAATGTCGAATATGATTGAATTTCAGGTTATTGATTTTGCGGTATTATCTGACTCTACAAGTCCCCTTTTCAGTACCAGATATGTTTGTTTGCTATTTTAACGCTTAGTGGCTATTATAAACGTTTTTGGTGTTAAGTAATGTATGTCATGAGGTTTAAATAGAGTGCAACCTATTCCTAGAGCAATATCCTGTGTGAACGTGTTGTTCATAATCTTATTCTTCTTAAGAAATATAGTTACACTGAAAACTTGAAGAACATACCTATAGACAATAATATGAGAAGTGATTCTCCTCGATTCTATTAAAATCATTATCATCATCAAATTTTATATAAGTTTGCCTGTAGTTGGTGACAATTTTTGTCAACAATTCAAATCTTCACAGAATAATCACACATTCATTTTAAATTTAATTGGTCACTTCATGATCATCTCAAAGTTGCATCAAAGTGGTACAGTTCTATAGTCCCATTGTTCTTGTTAGTATGTTTTTTCTAAAACTACTTGTTTAATTGTGTATATGACCCGTAGATATTCCTTTTAAACATAAGCTGATAATAACAGTCAGCGGTTAGAAGGGATTTCTATACTTCACTATGAAATAATGGAGAATATTTGTAGCTCAGATGGATGTTCTTGGTTGTATTGTGTTCTCTGAGCTAGGCTGTTTACTCGTGAAGTTTTCATCGCCTTGCTAGACGGCGACATCATCTACAGCAATAACTTCATTATGAAGTGAGCTGTCAATATCTCTCCGTGAGTGATTTAGTGGCTTGCTCTGACAATGTGTTCTGTGATTGATTGTTTCCTTTGATTGTTGTGTCATTGATTGTATAGACTTTCCTGTTGGCTGTTCCTCTGCTTCACCTCTGACCTTTCTGTCGTTTATCATTTTTCTCATTGGTTGATAGATTGGGTCAATGTCTATACATCTGTTGATTGTTGACTGACTGACCTGAATCCCAAGCTTCTAGGAATTCTCTGACATTGTTTGTCCCTTGGGTTCCTAATGGAACATAGGGCTTCAGTAGCACGTCTCCAAACTTTTGAACCTGACTCCACGACTGCCCACAAGCTCTCACTTCTTCCTCACACGATCTTCACCATGTCAGCCTCGGCTGGGACGCCCAACTCGTCGTTCTCAATCAGGGTTCCACTCGAGGGTCTGGCCTGGCGTGTGATGTCCCCAGTTGGCTTACTACTTGTAAAAATACCTAGTGGGGTTACGCCATTCAACTCGTCAGTATTCATTTTTTAGTTGTGTATATAAGGTCCAATTGAACTGCTCTAAAGGTTTACATTTCCATCAATTATGCATAAGTGAAGCACTAGCTATACACGAATAAAATATTGAAGAATTCGGCCCCGTGTAACAACGTGAGATCATAAGTTTAAAAGAACAAAAACAAAAACTGCGTTGAAAAACATTCCATGAAACTACTTGCTATACCTTGGCTTTAACAATTTATTTTGGTTAATTTTCTGAATTTCATTTCATTCCACATTGTATAATTCACTTTTTTAAATCATTATTATCAGTATTGTACACTTTATTAACAGAATTTGACATATTTCACTATTTAAAATCACTTTGGTTCCTTATTTAAAGCTATCATGACTCTTCAGCTTATTGGATGATAATGCTCTAGCATTTAAAGTGATCGGTTCTAGGTTTGAGTCTTAGTGGGGAGAACATCACTGACTGAGAAGAAGGTACATCCAGTTGACGAGAATATGCGCATCCTGGATCGTAGTGTTAACTGGTGTCCATCATTGATGTCAATATCGAGATATTCGCACGGGATGCGTTGATGTTAAAAGAGACCATTGAATTCAGTTCAATCAACAACGAGATAATACAAGCAATGTCATATAAACTTGATTATACGTTGAGAAACTTTACATAGTAGGTATTGTATTGTTTTAAGTGGATTTTTTTCGAACAAAATTTAATAAAACTTGGATCTCATCTACTGAGTTGTGAATTCGAACATTATTCAGTTGTTGCTGTATACAACATCTGCATGGAATCTTTAGTTATCACTGGACAAGTGAAGTTTACAACCTAGTAGATGTATCTGTTTGATAATTGGCACTTATATCTTGGGCTAAGCTTACTATCAGATTACTTAAAGATTTATAAATTTTTATTTTATAATCTTTTATAGGATATTTTAAAGTATATTAAATACTTAATTTCAGTTTATTTCTTCTATTTAGTGGTTCTATAATGGCTAGAATTATTGAAGAGAAATCACGTCAAAGAACTACATCAACAGGAAGTTTAGATGGAATGGTAATAACACGTGAAAATCAATTAGTTGCACTTTCATCATCTAATGCTTATGAAGTTGTTATGGCTGCAGCTGCTGTATATAATGCTAACAATATGATAAATATACAAAAAGAAGAAAAGAAAAAGAACAATATAAAAATGAATTTCAGTTAAAAGAAGAAAAAAATGTTGAAAAAAGTAAAGAACAACAATCAATAATTCATAGTATAACTGAAGATAATAATCGAATTTCTTTATTAAATTCAACATCTATGGAACATATAAAGTATAGTAATAGTATAGAAGTGATTGATAACAGTTTAAAATGTACTCTAGATAATAATAATCGTATAAATTTACAAACATTAACTGAAGAATTTCAAACATCTTCATTTTGTCAAACATCACAAATATGTCATAAGAATTCACAACCTGTAAGTTGAATTATTTTGTCTTAATATTACAGTTTTTCCACATAGATTGTTATTATAAAAAGACTTGAAGTATTCTATTCAAGTATTGTTATTAGAAATTTCACTCATCATCATCATCATCATTATCAACATAGGACCAGGCATTACTGCGTAACGGTCCGAGTTGCCACACCTCTCATATCAGCACATCAACGATGAAGATAAGTGAATGCAGTCAAAAGAAATATAAAGTATGAGAAGAAAGGAAAGAGGAGTGACAAAATAGTGAGATTCGGTATAGCGTTGTTAAGATGAGGATAATGTGTGTATACATCTGAACCACTGACTTCGGTTCTGAGCCATATCACTTAGAGTCTCCAACCACTGGTTCCTCTTGTCCCGTGTTCACTAAATGAAACAGTATTATTTACTAGATAACGTTTCATATCATGTTGAGCATATTTTTTTTAAGACTGTGTAATTATGTATATATATATATATCATTATTTTTCCCTTTGGTTCCTAGTGGAACATAGAGCTTCAGTAGCACTCTCTTCTCTGCAGTTTTTTAAATCTCGATGCATGACTGCCAACAAGCTTTCATTTCTTCTTCATATGATCTCTTTTATGTCACCCTTTGCTGGGATGCCCAACTCGTCGTTTCCTGTTTAGATTCCCCTCAACGGTGTGGGCCTGACAGTCGATGTCTCCAGTTGGTCTTCTCAGTGTATGCCCAATCGATCTCCACTTTCTTCTGTATATTTGTTGGTTGGTTCGTCCCTAGACTTCCTTGTTACTCATTCTTACTATTCTGGCCATCTGATCTTCATTAATGATGGATCGTGGCTAGTAGTGGGATCCAGGATACGCATTTCGTCTTGTTTGGGACTCGTCAACTGATGAGTGACGAAATGCGCATCCTGGATTCCATAGCTAACCACGATCCATCATTAATGCAATTAGAACGCAGGCAACATCGAGGCATCCGCACAGGAGCCCATATGCCGATAGAGACCAATCAATTCGGTCCAGGCAATGACAGTATCATATAAAAACAGTTATACTATCTGATCTTCAATAACGAGCGTAAGCAGCTTTTGATGAATGTCTGTAGTTTGTCGGAAGTGCTTTACGTGACGCACCAAGTTTCTGAACCATATAACAGCACTGACTTGACTGATACTGGTGTTGAAGATGCGGATCTTGTTCTTTGTGCTGAGTTGAGTGCAGTAGATCTCCACACTGATTTAAAATTAGTGAAAGCCTATTATGTTTTCCCGATCCTGGTTTCGACATCCTCGTCTGTGTCGCCGCCTGAAGTTGAAACGATGCCACTTAGGTAGGCAAAAAAGACTACTTTAGGACTCTGTAATACTGGAAGCTAAACAATTTTTGGATTGAGTCATTCATTCCCTGAGTTATACTCTCCTTATCAAGTTGTATTCATTTTCATTATTTAGGTATTTGTATTTCCTTAATGAGAATATAAAACAAAATAAAGTTATTTCTACTGACATTTCGCTATACCTAATAGTACTAATAACTTTATCAAAGTTACAGTGGGTAGTAAACCGAAATTTACAATATCCCCAAAGCTTATATTATAACAAACTTGATAAGTGTTATTCTGAATGAATGAATGATTCCACACGTTGTCAGAATTGTAGAATGAAGATGATATCCTTAAGTAGTGTTGTGTGTGTGTGAATGAATTACAGATTGAGATTTCCATGACCACACGTGTCTGTTGGTAATGTCAGTATATGGAAGTGAGTTGAGACCAGGTCAAACTACGTTTTACTCCTTCATTCCAACCTATTTAGACAATTTCGATTTCATTTGATGTGATGAAATTCTGCTATGCTATGAGACGTTCTGTATAATTTCTAAAGTCTTTCTGAATAATTTCGATATTATCAAAATCGGCCTTATGACCTGAAATTACAGCATGTAGAGTTATAGCTGATGTCTTTTCACACATAAAGGGAAAATATGTAGACATACTGACGGTGTGGCTATAGGTTCACCTGTTTCACGTATAGTAGCTAACATATTTATGAGTAAATTCGAAGACAGTGTTTTAACTCACTTACCAAAGCCGAACATTTGACTGAGATTTATTGATGACATCAGTTGGAGGAACAAAGGAAACCTGAGAGCTTAGGACATCTGTTTCGTCCTAGTATGGGGCTCCTCAGAACTGCGCACCCACAACCCCGCCCACCCCGGATCGAACCCGTAACCTTCAGGTTCTATGGCCACCATTGAGCCACTGGGTCACAATTCAATGGTCCATATTTCCAACTCCTGTTAGCTTAGAATATAGCTCAACCGCCACCCAATGTCATTGTTGAGTAACTGTCCTCACAACCATCAGGTTTTGCCCTTACTGGTCACGACTTCTACATCATGAGCTAACCGGAATTGGAAATATATGGACCATTGGATTCTGACGCAATGGCTCAATGATAATGTGCTGGCCATGGAACCTGAAGGTCACGGGGTCGTGTGTGAGCACTGCTGAGAAGTCCCATACTAGGAGGAGACAGCTATCCAGTGCTCCCAAGTTTCCTTTGTTCCCCCAACTGATGTCAGTCTACGATGAATAACAACTTGAAATATTTCCAAATCCCCACAACTCTCTTAAGATTCAATATATTGATGACACATTCGTAATTTTAAAATGTGACTTATACCGGGGATTCTTAGATCAGCTAAACTCTAGATCTCCCAGTATCAAGTTCAGTTCAGAAAAAGAAACGGATAAGAGGGAACTACCTTTCCTTGATTGTCTTGTTAAGCGGAAAGAAAATGGGCATTTATGTACAACCACTTTCAGAAAAGCAACGGATTCGAACAAATATTTAGATTTCAACTTATCACATTCAATTAGTGTGCAAGTTTCTGTTGCCTCCAGTCTTTTGAGGAGGGCATATGTTCTAATAACGGATGGAAATGAAAGAGTTAAGGAATTAAAATATGTGAACAAGGTACTTAAAATGAATAATTACCCAGTGTAGTTCACTCGCAAAATAGAAAATAACATTAAATTAGGTCGTAAAACAACTCATAAACTATGGGTCTGAATAATGATTATCCCTTACAGATCATACATATCGAATAAAATTAGGAGAGTGCTCAACAAGTGTAATATCAAAGTGTTCTGCAGAACATCAAACACATTGCAAAGCACCTTAGCTCATTTGAAGAACGAAATTCCTCTGGAGTCATAATCGAATTGTATTTGTAAAATAAAATGCTCAGACTGCCATCTGGAATATATAAGCCAGACTTCCTATGAAACCGCAATTCGAAAAAAATGAACAACGAAGAGCTCCCACCCGATCCCTCAGAAATTCAGTGGAATTGAGAAAACTTGAAAAGACATCAGCTATAACTCTACATGCTGTAATTTCAGGTCATAAGGCCGATTTTGATAATATCGAAATTATTCAGAAAGACTTTAGAAATTATACAGAACGTCTCATAGCATAGCAGAATTTCATCACATCAAATGAAATCGAAATTGTCTAAATAGGTTGGAATGAAGGAGTAAAACGTAGTTTGACCTGGTCTCAACTCACTTCCATATACTGACATTACCAACAGACACATGTGGTCATGGAAATCTCAATCTGTAATTCATTCACACACACACACACACAACACTACTTAGGGGTATCATCTTCATTCTACAATTCTGACAACGTGTGGAATCATTCATTCATTCATTCAGAATAACACTTATCAAGTTTGTTATAATATAAGCTTTGGGGATATTGTAAATTTCGGTTTACTACCCACTGTAACTTTGATAAAGTTATTAGTACTATTAGGTATAGCGAAATGTCAGTAGAAATAACTTTATTTTGTTTTATATTCTCATTAAGGAAATACAAATACCTAAATAATGAATATCGTTTACTGAATATCCAACAGTTTTTCAAGCCAATAAATCCCAATTTGTATTCTTTTTGTTTACGCAAATGAATCCCACTTTATACTTTTCAATTCGTATCAATAGATTTGTCTGTGAAGTTTAGATGAAATCTTTTTTTCATGATATATTGTGGAAAAAGCATAACATATGCTTCACCACAGGTCTGAACAAGGTGTAAATGATTACGTCACATCGCATTTTGTTTACCAGTTTACGCTTGTTTGCCTGTATTCACACGTACACATATAGAGAGTAGCAATCGAGCTATACAATGGAGGCTAGGAGAATATATATACCTAGATAGCTTTAAAAGCAAATGGAGTAGTAGACTTTGATCAGCGCAGGTGGAAGTTGACCCTCTTCATCAAAAAGCTTCCAAAGTTTTTTATAGAAACAGTCAGTTAGGGACACATACTGAGATTTGCTGAAGCGACAGCCATACACAAATTGAAACCACCTTTTTTGGACAAAAGCAATTTGTTCTTACACCACACTCTACTTGGTAAACTTTGTTTTCTTACGAAGATTAGGGTCAGTTATATCACTCTGCCTTCTTATTCTCATCTCTCTTAATTTCTATCTGATAATTATCATAATTGTCTTTCCACTCTTCAGTTCACAAGTGAATGTATAGTTAGACTCTTCGGAATGTATTACTGAAATACATTACACCTTATTCAGATAAATTTCCTCTTCTAATTACACTATCTAAGGTGATGACATTTTGTTTTTCAAGTTGTTATTCATCGTAGACTGACATCAGTTGGAGGAACAATGGAAACCTGAGGGCACTGGACAGCTGTTTCGTCCTCAGCAGTGCTCACCCACGACCCCGCCCTCCCCGGATCGGACCCGTGACCTTCAGGTTCCATGGCCAGCAATTTACCATTGAGCCACTGGGTCACAATTCAATGGTCTATATTTCCAACTCCTGTTAGCTCAGAATATAGCTCAACCGCCACTCAATGTCATTGTTGAGTAACTGTCCTCACATCCATCAGGCTTTGCCCTTACTGGTCACGACTTCTTCCTACGTTTTTCTTTATCTCCGCATATTTATTGTTGAGTTCATATCACAGAA